GGGGCGGGGGGGGGGGGGGGGGGGGGGGGGGGGAGGGGGGGTCATCTGCATGCATCGAGATCTCGAGGGTGGCTTTGCCTTTCTCGCCTACCTTCCCGAGAAGAAACCATCCCTTTTATTCCAGGTGGCAGGAAACTCGACGATGACCTTCTCTGTACGAAACGAGGACGGGGTCGACGGCCGACCCGCTCGACTCGATCGGGAATCTTTCTCTTCGTCGTCGTACCCGATCCGGTAGGAGTGACGCGTGGGAGTGACGATGCGACGGGCGCAGATGTGGCTCGGTCCGACGAGAAACCGATCGCCGGTCTCTCCGAAACTCGATGTCGACCCGGCGTTTCCAAGCGAGGATTCCGACTCGACGAAAATAGTCCAGAAGAAAGCCCGAGGAGAAACTCGAGGGATTTCTGTATCTCCTACGATCGCGAGCGATTCGTTAGCGGAAAAAAAAGGGAAAACGTCGCGACGGTCCGAGTCGACCGGAAACTCGATCGAGCGAATTCGCAACCTCGAAGGGCGTTTCCGAGCGGCGAGTTTCTCACGCCCACGCCCGACCGAAATCCCCCTAAAAGTCTGTCGACCGTCGCGGGAGAGAAACGACTACGGGCAGGGCCGAGCTCATCCGACTCGGTCAGCTTAGTTCCGCCTCTGACGGGGGAATGGAAGGTGAATCGCTCAATTTTCCACTTCCAGCCCGTGACTTCCTCCCATTCAATGGAACATCCCTCCATCTTTAGTTCTCCCCTCCTTTCTTCCTTTCAAATCGCATCTGACTTTACAATGGGCGTTTCGGAGGGGAGAGGGAGTGGGGGGGAGTGGGGGAGGGGGGGGGGAGGGGGGGGGGGGGGCGGTGCGCTGTTGCTAGGCGAATGGAACCTGCACCTCCCGCAAAGGTTATCGCGTTTCATCCTGAATGCATGATTTTATCGGTAGATTCCACTTTTTCCTTACCGCTCATGTGTAGGGATTTTTCAGATGGTATCCGGGAACGAATGCATCGGGACGTGACTTAATGGACAAAATATGCGCGTAATCACTTTTTGGAAAGAAATTCCGTCATCATCCGGAACGGCCTCCTGCGTTCCTTCGTCGTCTCGGTACGTATCGTTTTTCTTCCGATCTTTCGGTCTCGTGGATGCCGAGAGTTTCGCCTTTCTCGCTTCGGCGATTCGAAACTCCGTGCATTTTTTCCCCCAACCGTCCCAAAAGGGGAACGAAGGGAATCGACGAAAGAGTTGATGCGAGGACGACGAACTCGAACCGTACTCGACCGCGAATCGACGATGCAGGAAAACGATCCCGAAGGAAAAGCCGGTCTCGTTTCTCGAGGACTGGAAGATCGGAAAAAAAAAGAAGCACCGTCGCCGCATCCGACGCGGCACGTCGATCGAAAGACGCCCTGCACTGCGAGCGACGTCGGGGCATCCTCGAAAGGGCTCGGGAAGGGCATCCTCGAATCCCCTTCGAAGGACGCAGGAAGCCCGGGAAACGAGATCGTCTAGTGCTGCCCCTGCCGGGAACCCCCGGAGACCCCCTCTCGACCCTCGAGACCTCCAGCCTCAGTCCTCTGCGTGGATCCCGACCATGAACGGCTTCGTCCCGCTGCTCCTCTTCCTCGCTCCCCTCTTTTCCCTTTCGGCCGCACGTGAGTTCTCTCGCACTCGTTTCTCGTACGCACTTTCGGCCTTCGCGTCGTTAACCCTTCACCCCGCACTCCTTTTACGTCCCGATCGAGCCAGGTCTGTCGTTTTCTCACTTTCGACCAAAAATCACTCGACGTCGTGACGCGTCTCGGAGACGGTTGCGTGTGTCGTTTCCAAATTTCAACCGCATGATCCCGAGTCAAAATTTCCCCAGTTTTTCACCGGTTTTTAGTTTCCAGTTTTGCATTAACACTTGAATCTGTTGCCTATCATCGCTCGGTGGCCCGCGAACCGTCACCGCGATATGCACGATGAATTTCTTCTCGTTAGACACTAGAAACACACGAGTTTTCGCGTACGATTTCCCACGTGCCACGCGATCACCGGAGGGAGACGTCCATGAAGTTAAAAAGCACTTTCTTGCGACGCCACCGATACGTGTAATGTGTTGTTTTTCTTTTCACTTATCGCGAACGACACTTTGACGCATTCAAATGACACACGCAAGGTTTATCATACCGTGCCCGTAGATGCAAATCGTTCCATGCTTTCGATGAAAGGTGTCAGAAGCATGCACTAGCGCGTTGGAAATTCCCTGCGTCGCACTGCGCTGTGTGGGGTGCCGGAAAATCCGCATTACTACGCTCTACCACGTTAAGCGGGGGGAAGGGAATGAAGAACGACAAAAAAAAAGAGCTTGGAACGGGACTGCAAGACCCTGCATTCCGTCGGCTATACTGCTCGGAGCAAAATAGACATTAAAATGTTAAATTTCAGTTGTTCGTACTCGGTCGAACAGAATTTTTGCTCTCAGAGAACGGTTCGTACGTCGATCTCGTTCGGAGAGCGAAAACTGATGCCGTCGCCGCGCCGACGACTTCATCGGGAAGCGATGGGAAAAATCTCCCGTCGAAAACGTCGGTGGCTCTCGGCGAGCGCGGATTCGAGGGGGAAAACATCGGATCCCGTTCGAAATGCCTCTCGCGTCGACGAGAGACACCGCGACGAGCGAGACGTCGCGGAGCCGCGTTGCGACGCCGCGTACGCGTTCGGGCGGAATGCCCCATCCGCTCGAGACGGGATTTCGAGGGAATTCGGAGGGATCGCGTGACTCTCGCTCGCCCCTTAGAAGTGGCGCCGAAGGGGGACTTCGCCCGGCTGCGACGGGACCTCCTGGTCGGGTACGACGAGAAGACCAAGTCCGGCTCCGCCGATTCGCCCCCCGTCGTCGTCAGAACCGGCTTCACCTTCGTTCACATCGACTTCGTTCGTTTCGCTTCCTCCTTCGACGCTCCGCGTCCCCCTACGTCGTCTCATTCCTCCCGTTTCCTTCTCTCGTGCAGGACGACGTCAAGGGGGAGCTGCTGGCGAACTTCTGGATGAAGATGGTGAGTTTGGGGAGGGAGAGAGAGATGCATGCATACCGGGTTGGGCAAAATTCACCCGACACGGGACGGAAAGGCGTACGTTCGTCGCGAACACGCATCGCGAACGCAGATGCTCGTGAATGCACGATGCGATTGCACGCGTCAGGTGCGGCGTCGAAACTCGACACCATCTGCGGCAACGCAGACACACTCGCTCGGTGACGTCGCCCGAACGGTCGGCGTAGTAACGATATTTGATGTTCTCGAAGAAAATAAGGACCGGTCGGGCGTGCGAGGCTAAACCATCGACCTTCTACTCTGTCCTCTAACCGTTGGCGAAAAGAACGAAGTTCACAGTCACTCCATTCCAAAGAACGAAAGAAATATGCTTGCACTTTAATTGTCGGGGAAACTTTCGTCGAAGTGGTACACTTTATAACAGCATATTCAAGTGTGATTAATTTATTTTCAAATCGGTTTCTCTTTAATAAAATGATCAATGTTATTACCGAATATATGGTTCCTATGACAGTTTGCCTGAAACTCTGCAGAAAAATCACCACTGCTTTATGTGGAAAAATGACGTCCGCGCCAACCCGCAGGGCTAACACTTACGGTCCGGGAAGGTATGTGACTGAGTTTCTCGAGATCCACAGTTTCATAACTTCGGAACGCAAAAAGATAGAGACTTGTTCTTCGTCGGTAATCGAAGCATAAGCAATCAATCTGCATAGTTAACTAATTTGAAAATGTTTTCGAAGGACGTCCACCGTCGTCCGATGGTAGTTAGGACTGGACGTACTATTTAATCCGATGTTATTTAATCTAACGAGCACTTTCGATCCGATGGACTCGAAAGTGCTTAATAGCACCTCTTTTAAAAGTCGGTAAATTCATGACATAAATCGTAAATTTGGAGATCGTAAATAATTCATACGTTACGTGTCTATTTGACTCTGATCCCGCTGCGTGTAGGCATATATATTTTCTTCCTCCAGTTGCTTAAAAACCACGTCAATTCCCCCCCCCTCACCTTTTTATTGACGATGGACGAGAATCGGTCCGCGTTTCCGTTTGTTTATTTCGTTCGTCTAACGTCTGTCGCAGCCCCCACAGCATATATTCTCATTCATGGAGTCGCTTTAAATTTGAAAGCAGGGAGTTCGATGGAAACAGGCAGGCATGAGAGATGAACCAGATGTCCTCGATGGGAAAATAGTACCGACGTGCGTGACGGTAGCCCTCGGGGCATTTCCCCGATCCCGACCTTGGAAACCATAAAGGGTGACGGGAGAAAAAAAAACTGGAGAGGAGAGAGAGGACATAGTGAAGTCTTTGAGTGGATTCAAAGAGGCTTTTCATCGTCGCTGTTTGTTCTCTCTCTCGGGGCAACCGAGAGGAAAGAAAGTACCAGCCGGCACGTGATTCGCGAATTTTATTTCACGAAGGCTTTTCTTTATTGCCTCATTTGTCTCATCAGTCCGATGAAAGAGAGGATTGTGGCTTCATTACGAGCTCGTTCCCTCTTCGACCTTGGGACTGACGTTTCATCTCGACGTGACATCTCTCTGACTGGTTCCATTCGCTCACATTTTTTTCCCCACTCGATTTCTGTCTATTAGATGTGGGAGGACGACCGGCTGACGTGGAAACCAGACGAATACGGTGGAATCGGCATGATCAACCTGCCCCCTCAGGACGTATGGAGACCGGACGTCACCCTTTACAACGAGTAAGGAATCGGAAATCGGCTCCCTAAAAATGAGTGAAGGAAAATGAGCACACCAGGGAAGGGAACTCGTACGTGGGGTGTCCGGGAATTCGTTTTACAGTAAATAAATATTACTTTCGGAATCACTGAAGGCAGGCTGTCGAATTTAGCACCGATGGAAAACCCATCGTTCAGATATGCATTTTTTAAAATCGACTCTTAGGGTGTCAGAATGACTCGAACGAGTGTTTTCTGCGTCGTCGACGCGTTCAGGCCTTCTTCGACCGATCCATTGGACTTTTTCTTATTAATTTTTTCTGCTTTCAATATCTGCCCTAAGGTCAAGCGTGCTTACAAAGCTACGTAGGCATGCTAGTTCTTTTTTCGAAAAAAAAAGCCACAAAACCTGAAAACTTTCGGAAGCCCGACGACGCCACCCCGTCGTCTATCGTGCCATCCAGTTTATCGACTGATTAAATATATTCATTTTTTAAATATAAAAAATGAAAGTGCGAATCCTGGAACACCCTTAACGATCGTCGGTGAGCTTCAGGTGAGTTCTTTCGGTTGAGTTCTTTCACCCGAGTTCGTACGTTTGGCTCGTCTTGCAGCGACATGCATTTCCAACTGGAGGAGCAGTTTGGCACCAAATTGACGATCGCGTTTCCGAACGGGACGTTGTTGTGGGTGCCATCGGGGAGGATCTCCTCTCACTGTGTCATGGATTTTGCACACTGGCCCATGGACACGCAGACCTGCCAACTCAAATTTGGCTCCTGGACGTACAGCGCTAAAGTCGTCGACCTCAGGATCGACTCCGCAGAGGTGGGCTCGGAACGGCAGGCGACGCTTTTATATTCTTTCGTCGGATCGGTTCATCGTTGACTGGTTGGGAGTCGTGTCGCTTCCAGGTGGATCTCAAGTACCTGGAAAAGAATTCGTGGACGGTGGTGGAAACAAGTGTGAAAAGGAACGAGGTGATCTATGAATGCTGTCCGGAACCCTACGTCGACGTCACCGTTGTCATCACCGCCCGAAGGGAATCCCCAACTGACAGAATCATCGTATACCTCCAAGCCATCGGTAAGATATTATTGCATCTCCCCGGCCGTCGCCTCGGCCGGACTCGTCGTACATCTTGGACTTCTTACATCGACCGTCCGAATTCGTTACAGTTGCTGCGATGCTGACCCTATGCAGTTTCGGGTCGCGTGGTCCCGCCACGACCACATATCAGCAGACGAGTATCATCCTTTCTCTGGCTTTCATATGCTTTGATGTCTCCCACGTCCCCTACTACGCCGGAGGCAACCCGCCCATCATATATCACTACCACCTGTGTAGTTCATCAAAATATTTCCATATAGTGAGAAGGCGCTAATGTACAATTGCAACATCTCTCAATCGAATTATTGAACAGACCATACCATCTACGACATGCCCCTCCCCCAAGGCTACTATACGCAAATACTTAATGTTTTTAATTTTCTTCAGGGGGCCCCCCTGGAAGAATGGGGCCCGGGGTAAAAGCCCCCTTTGCCCCCCTCCCCCCCCCTTAATCCGGCCCTGGCTATAGTTTATTCTTCCAAGTTCCATGCCTAATTAAAAAAATCGTCGAGAAACAGCCAACAGTTATCAAACTACCCTTCAAGTTCGGCAAAGCTCGGTCCAGTAGCGAGCGTCCTTGGGTTCCTCACAGCATCTACCATACCAGACAAGTTATTAAGCTAACTCTCTACAACGTTAACATGTAATCGCGGAAGAGTGATATACCTTTATAAAACTACTTGATGTGTCCACCATCACTATATACCACCCCCCCGGGCATAGGGTGGGGAGACCAGAGAATGGCAAGAAATGGTGTTTGTGGGGATGGTGGTGGTTGTGGCCAAGGAGTAATGACCATTCATCTCCAGGAGGGTTTCTGAATTTCATATTTATTGTTAAGTGAATTTCTAAATGAATAATGAATGTTTCTAAATTTGCTACTGTTAAGTTTTTTTAACAGTAGCAAATTTTAACTGAACTGATGTCAAGTTCTTTGATTTTTTTGGATTTTGGTTTAAATTTGGCAATTAAAACAAAATTTAATCTAGCAAAATTTAATCAAATTTGAGTTTGACAATGGTGCAGTTTAAAGATTTCTATGACAGTGCGTAGAACCCATTGAATGTACATTTTTGACAGGCAACTATCATATTTTCAAACTTGAGGGAAGAGAGGGTTAATGTGAGGTATATTCCAAATGCTACATGCATAGAGGAGATTTCTATAATTAAAAAATCTCAGGAATTGGTTTATAAGCAATAAATTTTGGTTCAGGTTTTTATTCTGACATCACCTTGACATGATTTATGAGTGGAAATGAGGAAATTTGCATTGGCTTGACAATTCCAGACAAGAAGGCAGGAGTTCTGATGTGAAACTTGTACTTCTGAGACACTCACATTCTCCATGCAGGTACATTCCTGTTGGTGTGCCTGCTTCTGAGCACCATTTCGTGCATCTGGTATGGAGTGTTGGGATGGTTGGAGTCCCCTGCCAGGAAACCCCTTCCACCTTCTCTGAATGCTCTGGTGACAACCTGCCTTGCTCCTGCACTCTGTTTGAGGGATTCAGCACAACAGGTAGGTCAACTAGTGATCGACCCAGCATGATTTCCTTAAATCATATGCAAGCATAGAGAACTACACGTAAATCGACTTAGATATGGAATAGGTATGAATGAACTAATAATAGGTAATAATTTATTTTTGAACTTGCCTGAGGTATGACAGGTATGAGGGTTCGTGTTCACATATAAAAAGACGCTTGTGCGCTGTATCCTATCGGTTCTAATTCGAAGAAAGTTGAGTAAAATGACTGAAAAGTGACTGACTATTGATAGGTGTGCACCAACTGTTCGGCTTGACTTTAAGTTTGATCAGAACGTAGAGGAAAATGCTCAATTCAAGAAGACGTGCAATGGAGAAACTGCCAGACGAGAGGCAATCGTTCGCGTCAATTAAAAAATTTTTATACGACAGAAACAATTATAGACCTTCATTGCTCAGGATATCCACGAACTAGCCAACTGTTCACTCAGAAGACATGGAATCGGTCAACAAGAATATTTCTTAATCACCTGGAAAGTCGACGCGATCCATGTCGAATTTGACGAACGCGTGCCAGGTTGAATGAGATGAATCGTTTGTATGGTCGCTTCAATCATCACAATGGCATCTGGAGCGACGCCAACCCTCGTGAAACAGTTGATCGTCCTTCCATATCTCCTGAACTCATGGTATGAGTGAAGTTACAAGAGACGAGGTCACGTACCGTTCTTTCGAGACAGCACTGTGAATGGCGACCAGTTTCTCACCACGTCGGGAAACCAGATGTGGCCAGCGATTATCGCTTGCAGCAACGTTGATGCGATTTTAAATTATGAAAAAAAAACAGTGAAGCATCTGCAAAATACTCTAGTGAGGCCTGTGAATAGTTGGACGACAGTTTTGATGGTCTGTGGATCGGGCGTCGATGACCGATCTGAAGGCCACCTCGTGGCCTTGATCTCACCCCAGAAGACTGTCACGTGGGGATATCTCAAGGATTTTATCTGCGCCAAGTAGTCGCGCCATATGGAAGAATTGAAAACCGTGATAAATATGATGCACTGTTTTCGGGTTGAATTTGTACCCGCCCTGGGTAGTGGAGAACGGAAAAAGTGCAACGTCTAGGGGATCATATTTAGTCAATCCAAAAAGCCACCTTTGTGTAAGGAGTCGCTACCTAGAATCGATTGAAGCACTCCTATGTGGGGGTTATGAATTCTATCCGAAAACAGTGTTTGTTGAGTGAAACCCCTGGGGTCGTGATCCACGAGCAAAGGGGATCCGTTAAGTCGCGCTTGTTTGATCGTACTGGACGGGTGTCGCAAATCGAATTTCTTATCCGATAAGAAATGTGAAGGTTCTCTTTGAGACCTTTCTTGGCTTTCGAATGACGCAAACTGGATTCCAAACCTATAACTCATTCATGAGTTATGAACGGCTGAAAGGTGGGCAAGACTTAAAACTCGCCCTTGTAAAAGGGGATTCATTATGCGCCAGCACAAGTACATTCCAGACTTGCCTCAAAGACATCCCCATGGAGACAGAAACTTAATATATGACTATAAGGAACATCTCAGGGCCATAGAAATGTTTGAATGAGGGGGGCATCCCAAGGATGACCTCCCGGTGACATGCAAAAGCTCCATTCTTGCAATGTCTAGATGCTGTGTGAGGACTTGATAAGGCTGTATCCAGTCCAGATTCCTGAGACTTTTGGAAGCTCATATTCAGTCCTTTATCCAAAATAATTGTATCCAGATATGCTAATATAACATCATTATAAAAACTAGAACTCAATGAATTTTGACTAGGACCCAGCAATATTCACTTTCCCCAGGGTCAATTTTCTATCTACAGTTTGGAAAACCACTTCTTATCCTTTGTATAGAGGGGTTCCACTGGGGTTATGGGTAAGAAGAGTTAGATGGCGTTTTGGCATCAAAATATATTCAAGGCCTTTGGGTTTCCTGTCTGGTGACTTATTGTGTACAGTAACATGTAAAACATTGAGTTTATGCTGGTTAGCACAAGAAACAATTTATATGAAGTGTGTATGAATTTGATGAGATCAATTGTGGCTGGGCAGGTAACTGATGAGGAAAGTGAGGTGGAGAGTGAGAAGTTGAAGGGTGAAGGAGGTGAAAGTGCAAAGAAGGCTCGCAAGGATCAATCCTGGAATCTTTTCACCGCATGCCTTCATCGTCTCCTTTTCCTCCTTGTCCTCGTCATCATGGTCATCAACTTTGCCATCTATTTCCCTCGACCTTGAACCAGGGGGGTTTTGTGGGATGCATGCTCATATAGTGCCATGCTGTTTGTTTCCAACCCTCCAATTGGTGTTGAGTGTTCTTGTTCTGTCTTCTGAGGAATTCTTCATATTTCACATGATTATGCATTCACTCCTATGCAATTTAATGCCGTTGTTTTTTACTACTGAACATTGAGAGTCACCCCAAAATAAAAGAGAGAATCAAATAAATATTACTGATATTTTCTTCAATGACTTCCAAAAAATACAAAATGATCACAGAAGAGGAAGTCATGAGTCAGACTGTCCTGGCTGGGACTTAGACCCCATCTGACTGAGATGCTTCACCACATCAACCCAGTTCCACCCACGTGGCAATTCCCCTCGATCAAGACGATCGTACAACTTCCGCTTTTGAGCCTTGGTCATCTGGTTCTTCCCAGGCTTCTCATCTCGATTTGGCTACAGAGAACAGAGAGACATTGACTAATATGATGTGAAAAGTAATGTGAAATCATCAAGAGCAGTCTGATGTAAGAACCTGATTGTCCAGAGAGAGCTCATCAATGGCACCAGTCAGAACCACTTCTGGGGCAGAGTCTGAGATGGAATCTGACTGATCAACCAAGAGAGATTCTTGATTTTCCCGAAACCACTCAAACAAAGTGTATGTCATGGCCATTCCCAAATTCTCTTCAGCTTGCTGCTTTAACTCTTGGATGATCTTCTCCTTCACTTTTGGCAGTCTGCAAATAGGGAGAATACCCTTCAATAGTACTACACTACAGATGACAACATAAGAAGACCTAATTTGCAGTAATTTGGGTAATATTTTTGGTCACCAGTTAGGGATGTACTCACATTGTTTTTGATGTGAAGAGATTGTAAACACAAAATGAGCTGGGTCTCCTCTAGTCAACTATATTGTTTTCAGAAATAAACATGCACATGTGACAAATCTGCAAATCTTACATTTCTATTTTGGTGAACACATCCCACTATGACCCTGAATATTCTGCAAATTGGGTTTTCATGTATATGCTGACCAAATCAGGACTACTTGGAATTATTATTGGGCCCAGAACATATGTCAATTTATTTGCAATACAAATGCTTCTCTGTATAGTTCTTTATTTGGTATTCCATGATTGAAAAGACTACCTCCTGTTTACTTCCAATAAATTTGCTACAAATTTATTTGAGTAAATTGTTGGAAACGTCACTATTTCAATTTCATCTACACATCTACTTTAACCCTTCAGTAGCTGCATGGTTTTTACCTCCATTAGTAGTCACAAGGGGGAATGATCATTGTTTGGGAAACAAAAACAAACCATATTTGTATTTGAGGATGGCACAAAAGCATGACCAATCACTCCAGATGTTCAGAAAGTATTCCACATGGGAGTCGGGAAAGTCACTTAAAGGTGCTGAAGTGATGAGGTACTGAAGTGAAGGAAAACAAAACATGCTTGTGATGTACTCATCAAGATGGAGTTGGAAATATAACATCTCATGTGACTACTGCAGGGTTAATTGGACAAATATGTAAAAAAGAACTAAAGTATATTGATATGCCAGATATCCTGCTGCTATGCTGCCATCCATTATGAGGCACTTAAGGTTCAAGCAAAGGTGTGCCTTGTCTTCACTAGACATGAATTGGTTTGAAGAAAGGAGAAGGTGAAATGGCCCACATGCTCAATTATCCTGCTCCAGCTCCAGTTCCAGTTGAATATTTTCATCACTTATTTTGTATCTAAATTCAGCCAACACCATGCCTAGTATATCACTATCATGCAGAAGTTCCCTCAACCATTTAAGCAGGGAGTTTTTAATCTATGGGTTTACCGCTAATGGGGAGTTTTTCCCAATAAAGTTGACTATTTAGAATGATATTACAGAGAACATTTGTCAGAAACAAACCCTCTTACCCAGAGATGAATTCCTTAGCAAGTTTCCCCCTTAACCCTTTCAATCATGAATCATGAGAAATGGATCATTTCTGTCTGTTTTTCTAGGTTCTTTTTGCTTTAATACATTCATAATATTACCCAATATGCAAGTCAACCTCTAACTTCAGCATTCTTTTCCATTAAAATATCAGCAATAGACAACTAATTGGTTGTCATGGTCATCATCAAGTGCACAATTTCCCAGTTGATTCTCTGTTTCAGGACAAGTGCCTTATAACTTATAAGTGTATGGTTTTTTTTTTTTAGCTTAGCAGAGTGAGAGGCACAGGGGACAGAGGGGAAATCACAGTGAGGCAGAGACAACAAAATCTCAAACTCACTAAAAAAAAAAAAAATCCTCAAATTTCCTTAGATTCTTTTTAAACTTGAAAGCTCTTGACATTTACCTCCCTTAATCCACAAACCATAACAGTAAACATGTGGATTAATGGGAGAATGAAGCCCTTATGACTCAGCTATTTCCAGGTGAAAGTAAGGGCACATGAGGGAAGGAAATGGATGCCATCACTACACTGGAACTATGACTGCTTCCAGGTAGCAGCATTATGTCATAAATCCCAGTGCAATGAAACTATTTTTCTGACAGGTTTCAAACTCAAATTTATGAAATCTATGGTTCTCATTCCAACTTGCAATTTAACCCATTCACTGCTTACATGACATGTTAACATGCAATAATTTTATCAATTTCTTATGGAATTTGCATTGTAATTTGCAGTAAGTAAAAAATGTCATGCAATAGACATTTGACTGTTTTTCCAATTTTCCGGTACACACAGCATTTAACTTCTTTAGCCAAAGGCCACAACAAGACATATTCCAACAAAATCTTGATGAATGGAATTACATTTGCATATACTGTAGCTTATATTCAATCAATTATCATTACATGAGTTGGCAATGGCTATTTGACATCCCTATTAATTGCAGTTTTAATGGCCCCCCTCCATAAAAACTTATGGTAACTGCATGGTCCTGTTCATGGGGGCCCTTGAACAGGACCCCTTTTCCTTTCCTCAAAATGAGATCATGGCTACATTGCTGTAATTATTCTAATGGCAGTTATGATTTCTCCTACATGCTGAAACTGAAACACATCATATTAACTGTGTTTCTTTAATCAAGACATACCTGGCATCCCATAGGTAGGATGGTGTGCAGGGATATGCACAAAAAATTCTCTAATGGTTCACATGTCAGTTACATTACTCAAAATTATCTTCCCAAACATCAAGTGTCTGGTGTAATCATGTCAATGTCTGGCCAAATAATTCTAATCATTAGAGAATTTTTTGTATGCATCTCTGTACACTGTCCTACATATAGGATGCCAGGTATATCTGGGTTAAACATGCTGCCTTCAGAAGCTGGCTAGTTAATAAATACAGGGATGCAACACATAATGATACAATGTAACTTGAATTGTATCATTGTGTTGTGCTTCCTGGGTGACTTGGGGGTTAAAAAACATCAGCAAAAAACCCAATTCCTGTGTGGGTGAAGGCACAGACTCCACTCTAAATCTTATACAAATCAGATTAGGATTAAAAAGAAGCAGTAAAAAGGGGGGGGGGGGGGTTACCCACAGGTGCCTGTTGAAGAAAGCATTCAGTGAGACTTCTGGGGCTTCGTGTGGATATTGAGGAGTCCATGTAATCTGGAGGAGGACTGATTTGCCATGACCTTCATCCCCAAACTATAAACACCAACCACATTGGTTCATCACTGCACCATCTCAAAATATGCAGTATAACTGGTTAGCTCAACAATTCCATCATTCATGCATCCAGATCAGATCAGCAAACAGGCTAAACAATCAAGTGAATGAACTGAGAGAATTTCACTGTAATCCTAACCTGATACTGATGTCCTGTTTCTGATAGTTTTTTGTAGCAAGTGTCTGCTTCATAAATTGATTCTAGGACCTCCTCTTCCTCCCTCTGCTCATCATTTGCCATTCCTCAAGTGTTTCACATTCACTAGCCCCCTAGACATGGAAAGCCCCCATGAGGATTAATCTGAAAGATAAAAAAACTAGATGACTCTGTGAGCAAATTCAATAATTCTTTTTAAAAAGTGTGCCAAAATGCAACAAAGTTTACCAGTCCTGCATGGTAAATATGACAGCAGTAGACACACTGTAATTTAGACATCAGGAAGGCACTTCTTTTAGGTTGCTATGGTAGGAGTATGGTCTTTGGAAGGACAGTATCAAAAGGAGAGAACAACATTGTGCTTGCAGGAAGGTGGTTCACGGACCAGTCTTGAAATCCTTTCAAGGTTTAATCAGTAAGCACTATCAGGCACTCTTTACTGTGAAACTTAGGCATATCATGCAATAATTCATAAAGCAATAACAATATGACAGTTTACATTTTCATAGAGCTTTCAAGAAAAAGTTTTGAAAGAAGTCTGCTCAACTTAGAGCATTACCCTAACCTCTCATTGTGTACAAAAGGCAAGTGAATGAGAGGCCACATCAACTGCATACCTGATCATTACAAGGATAATTATTGCTCCAAGCATTTTAAAATATGCAGTAGTCATATTGGAGTTAGGTATGCATTATTATGAAGGTTACTCAAAAAATGAGTCACAAAATTAATTATAGCCAAGCATGTGAGGGTAGATGGTACCCTATGATTTACTTTCCATATATATTCCCTATGCATACTAAGACACTTGTTTCAAACTTGAATGTGCTAGTGGCATTGGAGGATATGGCTTGGCACTGAAGCCAGTATGTACAGCTAATTGCACCTCTGGGACATGTCCTGTGTGATCCTCACAGGATTTCTGGAGTCAGGCACCATAGCAATGGCAGAACGTTGGTATGTTGCTCTACTCTAATGTTTACAGACATAATCTGTTGGAAATCTTCTTGTATGACAATGTAAGGTCACACAGCACAAAGGACAACTGCAGTGATCAACATTCTGGGTTGGATGGTTTTGCCATATCCTTTGTACAGCATGGTTTACACATCAAGCTATCATCTCCACCAACCCCTCAAGAAAACTCTTGGTGGCTGGCATTTCCCATCTGATGAAGAGGTGTAACAGGGATTCGAATAGGATGCAAATAGCTTCATTGCCACCAGCATATGCAAGTTTGTCCACAGGTGAAACCAGCAGCATCTCAATGTACAGCAGGATGTAAATGTTGTCTTGACCTAGTGTTAGCCTATTTCTTGCTATATGGTGTTAATGTGCCTTGCAGAGGAATGTGGAAACTATTTTTAGACCTGATGTTCATGATAGTGGCTCCTGTCCCTGGTGTCCTAATGATGTGCTTTGAAGGGGCCTATGAAGATGACCTCGGTCCATTTTTGAAGGTGGGCCTAGACCCAAGACAACTCCTTCAGCTCCAAAGGCATGGAGGATAGGGTTGCCACGATTGAATTTAACAAATATTTAAAGTATAATTGCATCCACAGTTGCTTTAAGCTAAGGCGCCAATAGGTACTACAAAGAAGTGGCCTACTGCTTTTGACTTACGGAGAAGGGCGATTTTGGTTGCTATTAAACTTTGGTAACTAAATAAAATCTTAAGTTTGAAATATGGACAAAACAGTGTCCAAATTAAGGCTAGTTTGCATTATGGACAATGCATCTGAAATATGTACTGTCCATACTAATTATGAACGAATGCCAACCCTAGGGGGGAGTGTGTCCCGGCATTAATCTCTAACGCTATAGGGTAAATTCTGAACCGCAATTCGTCCTGTCTCCCTCTCGACTGCAATAATAAAGGCCAGCGTCGCCTGCCTATGACACCTGTCAGTTCCACTTCCCTGCACAGACCAGGAATGCAATCCAAACACATTGATCGGCGGAACTTGTTGGTCCGATACAATTAGGTGTACAACTGCAATTGCACATGTTGCTGGGCGCGCTCATTATTCGTCATAGATGCCCAATCCTCTCTGTACTTTCAAGTCGAAACTTGCATGTCGGGGAGAATGTGGAACGTGAAGCCAGCCGTGTGGAATTGGGGCTCCGCTCTCCTGATGCACAGCCTTTTCTTGGCCTGGACAGATCGCCCTGATCTTCGCGTATTCCATGAAGATACGGCAGGATGTTTTAATAGAAGTTGACGTAACATTTACCCACATTTTGAGTGGGTGGGTCAGAAATTTCTGAACCATGACTGAGAAAAGAGCTGGCACTCATGGATGGCACTCATTCAGAATGTATACGCTTAATTAAGAATTCAAGCGAAGAATTCTAATGGCTGTCAAATTCACAAGCGGACAATGGCAGAGTTTTTTTATTATCAACGGGTGGCTTTTTAAATGAGTAATGCAGGCAATTCTGTTTAGAGTTTCCCAGTTTGACATTAAGACTTTGGCGCAATTTGTATGGCATTTTCGTTGCAGATTTCGGAGAGTTCCTTATATCATTCCTCGTGACAGGCAAGATCATTTAGTCATTTTATTTATTTAAACAATGCCAATAAAATCGAACTTTATCGAACACTATTACCGATTTCGACTTTAAAATTGCTCCCAACCTGAAACTTGAAACCGTCGGGGTACGGTGAATCTAATCCTCGTCCTACGAGTGTGCATTAGTACGATGATTCTATGGCACATGGGAAGATGGACTCCATCAAGTTGACTCTTAGCCATGTAGAAGCCGGTACAAAACGTGAGCAAAAGCAGAGTTTAAATATACTCTACTTGTGTGCAGAAAGCTGTGATTCCCCCACTCCCTCGACAGGAGCCCGAAAGCCGAAAGTGAAAGAACCCCTTGCCGATTTGCGTCAACGGAAGGACCTCCGGCTCAGGTGGGTGACGTGAGGTGAGTGATGGTCTAACCGCGGCCGCGAAGGCCTCGCTTGTGGCCAGAAAAGATAAATCCTACTTTTGAGTGTGGATGACTTTTTAAAATCACCGGTAAGCCCTTTTGTGCCGTCCGCCCGAGTTCGGTTACGTCCAGGTGTCGCCCTCGGCTCAAAAAAAAGTTTGAGAACCACTGGTCGACGAGAGCGTTTTCTCGATTCCATCTGTCGGAGAATGAGTACTTGATATTCGAAAATCCTTCAAAATCAGACATCCGAGAGAAATGCGGAAACATCGGGCGCGAGACAGGGGTAGAGAGTAGGGATGCGGTCCGATCGAATCGTGAGACGTCGAACGTGAGAATTGTGATGTTTCTCCCGTTTGACTCGTCCCTTCTTCGTAAAAGTTGCCGACTTTCCTGGCATCTGCCGTCTGTTCATCGGCAAAAGCCTCTGACTCCACGAACCGGATGAGCCCCAGCCGACGATAGGCATAGAGCCTCTCACGTTCTAGAATCCGTCGCTCACTTCTCGACCCGGAATTTAATGAGTGAAAAGCCTTCAGTCGATGAACTGGAAGCCCTCATCTATGTCAGAATCTAAAGCAGACGAAAAGTCAATCATGTATGCATGCAAGTACCCAGTTCCGTATTTTTTCGACGGGCAGGGAAGGCAAAAAGAGCAGCCCCCCTCCCCGAACAGCCCTTGAAAGTCCTTAGTCTCTGAAGGATTTTTTTCACCCTTGAGAATTTTCGCTCAGAAATCCCCCCTCCTCCTCCTTCCCTCCCTACCTACATTGGCAGCCCCATTTCTGTTTCCTTACTCATGAGCTGAAACACGCCGCTGTAAGTACCCCACTAGCTACGAGATAAAGCCTCCCGTCCGGAGTAACTCCTACGCCCCTAGCGACTCGGGGATAAAAGCTGCTCCCGGTGCACGGTGCATCAGGTGCACGCAGAAATTCTGTTCGCAAGTGCGTCGGGGATCGGTACTCACACGACACTGTCTTCCTCGTCTCTTCACAGAGCCGACTTCTGGAACCCCAAAGGGCGAGCGATTCGGCGGTGGAATCAGCCGAAATTCAGGGTGGGAGCTCGACCCTACAAGAACTCGAAAATGAACTCTTACACCCTTTCCCCAGCTCTAAATTTCGACCGAAGAAGAGGTCCGAACTTGAAACCCACTCGCGCCGCATTCGGATTTCTTTTTACTATTACGATGCACTTCAGCTAAATTGTCATTAACATAGGCAATAAATTTCAAAAAAGTATAGGAACGGCGTTTCCACTGGGGAGCTTGTGGCAGCGCCATTCCCACTTTTTTTTTTTTCACCGGCCTCGATGGTTAACGATATCCGCAACGAAACACGAAGCTCGGAAACTTCTTACGATTTTTATCCTGGAATGGAGATGAGTATAACCACGAAAATCTGTTTATGTGGATTTCTAGAGCGGAAACGGAAGTGAATGGATGACGCCCTCAGGAGACAGAAGCCGCTGGTCGATGGCAAACGCCTTAAACGGATGAAACGTGATTTTGCAGATGAGAAAATATGTCACCAATAAAGGAAACGGAGCAGTTGGATTGCAAGAGTTCTCCTGGCCACGTGGCATCACATGAGGGAATGGAGGCCAGGAGCGTCTACGCCATTCGAATGAGTGAGAAGTTTGACATCTTCCACAAAGAGTATTTTTATTGCATCCCCATTGCCCATGGGGCAAAAGAAGAGGTACATAGTAGTACACTAGTACATTATGGTGGCATGGTTGCAAGTTCACTTCTCCACCTTCTTTGCACTTCACATGTGTTCTCAGATTTCCAGAATCATTTCAAAATCAACTTACATTGCTCTATGATCTAAGTATGTATACATTTTTTAGACACCCTGTATATTTAAACATTTACCGTGGTCCAATACATGCGCGAGCGCGCACAGCGAGGTAGCGAGGGTTTCCTAGAGCCATTCAAATCGGTCCACTCAGCGTTGCACACGGTCACGACAGCGGGCGATCGGTCATCTCAGCGTAGCCTAATCCTATTTTTGTCACATTTCAACCTTTTTCTCCATTCATGTTTTAACAAGTAAGAGCCTGGTCTACAGGGTGGCCGGAAAGTTTCTCCCCGTGGGTTTTTCGAAATAAAACTATAAATATAGCACATTGACAAAATATAATTGGCAGGTTACGTTAGGTACACAATATACTTTCGACAATAAAGGATTGAATATGCTGTGTGCCTGCCACCACTTTTCG